AGAATGGATCGAAGGAGGCAGCCAGACAATTCAAAGGGACCTCAGAACGAGCGGGCAACACCGGAAAACCAGCAATTGGACCAACTGAACAGAAAAAAAATTTTTCCCCTTTCCTGTATGGAAAGACTGGCGAAATGATGGGCGCCTTTGAAAATTGGGGCGTGGGAGGGAGTTAGATCACTCTTCCGGCCTAGAGGAACACCCCGCTCTCCTCTTTTCCCCTTTCTCCTTTACGGAAGCACCCTCTGGGGCCTGGCCTCTCCCCGACCCCAGTCACAACGCCGTTCCCCATCGGTTTCACACCCTGGCTCTCTTCCCATCCCCAAAGTCAGAAGAAAGTTGTGAGTGAGGCGCAAAGCCTGAGAGCCCTGACACGTGAGGTCAAAGCAGGCATTTGAAACGCTCTGTTTGAAATAGATTTCATATTTCAGCATTTTGAGACAGAAACCATCAGTGCAGCTTCTGTTTTGAAGAAACTGGATGCGCCCCTGAGGCAATATGGAACACTTGTATATTACTGTGCAACCCTAACCAGAGCCATTTCAAGCAGTAAATCCCATTGCTGCTCCCACTAGGCATCTCTTCCACTTTCATTGAACTTGTTGGCTCTTAACTGCCCATTCAGGATCAAACTCTACTCAAATATTTTGACTTACAACAGGGTTGCTTCTAACAATGTGCAACTAAACTGGGAGGAAATAGGGATGTCTCAGGAAGGCAACAGAGGATTTAAAAATCCCTGCTACTAAAAGCACTGCGGCTTTCACTTATGCCACTACATTACAGATGGGCAGACTCAGAGGGCTGGTCACTGAAAGAGCAGCTCCCTCACTCTCTGCTGTTTTCCTGTGTTCTTCCTCTGAATCTTCCTCTGGTGGTAGAGATTGGGCTCAATTTACTCCAACCACCAAATGAAAGAAAGCAAGCAGGCAGGCAGAGATGGTAACTGGTTTCAAGGAGCAAGCTTGCCAGTTGATGTTCACTTGCTTCCTTTTCCCAGCCAGTGAGCGAAGGCAACTGGTCTGCCCACTGCCTCTTGGACTCCATGTCTGTGCCTGACTTCACTGTGCCCAATTCATTGCTCAAAAGGAGAGAATGTGCAAGCAGGGAGAGTCCAGGTTGCAGGGGGAGAGTGCAGGTAAGCAACTGGAGACAACCCCATCACTAGCCCATTTCTTGCTGCAGAACCCCTGGAGGGGGAGAGAAATCTGAGCAACCCAGAAATAATATTTGGTTTACTGAGTGGATATCTCACAACTGTGATGCCAGGGAGAGATTTCAGAGAGATGAGCAAGTGAGGCAGGATAGAGAGTCATTCCTTTCATATCTTTCATGCTGCATCATCCAGTCGGAGAAGATGATGAATATGTGAACAGCATTAGATATTCTCTAGAGTGTTGTCATGTACCATGACGTTTCTCTTAATTTCTTTTAATTTCCAGGTATGTAAAATATGTATGTAATAAGGTTTTCCAGGTATGTATGCTTTGTCATTGCTTCCATGGCTGAGCAGGGGTTTGAGCCCCGGTCTCTTGAGTCCAAGTAAACCACTCTATCCACTACACCCCAATGACTCAAACCATCTCTAGTCTGGGCCAGATTAAGAGAAAACTCAGGGCTCCTGTACCTTTTATATTCTCCAGGAACTCTGCATTAAGTCCTGCAGGTGTAAGCTTCCTTGACAAGCAACAGCTGCTGAAGTCCTGGTTTGTACACTATTAAAAGTTTGGGAACTCTGTCTTCTTTTACATCTGGTCATGTGAGGAAGTGTTGTGGACCCAATCCACCATAGGAGAGCAAACAAGGGGAAGCTTGGAACAACTGCTGCCTTCTTACACCCTCAACCCCTCCGTAAAGGGCAGAACTCAAAGGGGAGGGCGTCCAATGAGGTGGAGATTCTGGAGACACTTGTCAGGGGGTGCTTTCCCCTCTTGTTCCTTCGCGGCTTCTGTTGTGGAGCAGAAGGAAAGAAGAAAGGTCGTCAAAATAAAAGTGGCCTTATTAAGATAAGAACCAGTGGCTGAGCAACAGCCTTCTCCCTCCAGACACTGAAGACCAACTGAGGAGACAGACTGGCACGGTGACCCGCGTTCCAACTGAGGCTCCAGCAGAGCCGTGAAATGGTTCACCGTCCGAAAGGCGGGAGCCTAGGAAACTGGTGACTTTTCGGGGCTTTGCTTGGCGTACACCAGCCGCCCGTTGATTCCCTCGTCGGGCGCTGCCATGAGGGGAGAGGAAGGGCAATGGAAAGGTAAAGGAAAGGTTGGGAAACGGTGGCAGTTTGTCGACTGGTCCTAGGAGGAGGCGAGGGGACAAAAAGAGGTCTGAACCCGTCCTTTCTGCCCAAAGGGCTGTTGAAAAGAGACGGGAGGTGGCGAAGCTGTTGCACAAACCGGCGAGCGCCGGGAAGGTCCACCCTCCCCACCTTAACGCGGGGCGAGATTAAAATATAGGCGCGCACACAGACCGGAGCGCAGCCCAGTAAACAGCTCGCACCGTTCATGGCAGAGGGACCGAGGCAGGTGAGGGAGGGAGAGCGCCCAGGGAAGGAACTCCCGCCCAAGGCAAGCCGCCCGCGGAGAGACGAGAGGGCGGGAAGCAAGGAGAGAACAGCCGAGGAGAGGTAGGCACCCGGGAGGATTGTGTGGAGATGGGACCGTGCACGGAGCGGGCTCCGGCGGCTGGGTTTTAACGCCCCAGTCACCCTCCTGAGAGCCAAAGGCCGCTAGGATTTGATGGCGGAGGAGAAGCGGGACTGAGGCACCGGGCTCGCTGAGCACCGCCTGAGGTTTGCTTCGGCCGCCGCCGCCGCCGCTGCTTTGGGATTTAATTTTCTTTCCTCCCCAGGGAATGGTGTGGTGCTAACAGTGGGTTCCTCCGTTTGCATCCGCGGATGCCTCTTGCCTCTGGAGCTGCTTCCAGGGTTTTTGTTTTTCCTTTAAAAAAAAAGTCTCTACCGGGGAAAGGATTCGTTTTGGGGTTTTGCCGCCCCACTCCCAAAAGTTACAGTCTTGTTCCGAAATCGTCTCCTCCTCCTCTTCCTCGCCGCCCTCGGCTCCACGATGAGCGCCAACATCGTCTACGAGTGGCTGAAGACCCTGAAGCTCTCGCAGTACGCCGAGTCCTTTGTGGATAATGGCTATGACGACCTGGAGGTGTGCAAGCAGATCGGGGACCCGGACCTGGATGCCATCGGGGTCTCGCTGCCGCAGCACCGGCGCCGGCTCCACGACGCGGTGCAGAGGCTGAAGGAGGAGGCTTTGCTTGGCGTACACCAGCCGCCCGTTGATTCCCTCGTCGGGCGCTGCCATGAGGGGAGAGGAAGGGCAATGGAAAGGTAAAGGAAAGGTTGGGAAACGGTGGCAGTTTGTCGACTGGTCCTAGGAGGAGGCGAGGGGACAAAAAGAGGTCTGAACCCGTCCTTTCTGCCCAAAGGGCTGTTGAAAAGAGACGGGAGGTGGCGAAGCTGTTGCACAAACCGGCGAGCGCCGGGAAGGTCCACCCTCCCCACCTTAACGCGGGGCGAGATTAAAATATAGGCGCGCACACAGACCGGAGCGCAGCCCAGTAAACAGCTCGCACCGTTCATGGCAGAGGGACCGAGGCAGGTGAGGGAGGGAGAGCGCCCAGGGAAGGAACTCCCGCCCAAGGCAAGCCGCCCGCGGAGAGACGAGAGGGCGGGAAGCAAGGAGAGAACAGCCGAGGAGAGGTAGGCACCCGGGAGGATTGTGTGGAGATGGGACCGTGCACGGAGCGGGCTCCGGCGGCTGGGTTTTAACGCCCCAGTCACCCTCCTGAGCGCCAAAGGCCGCTAGGATTTGATGGCGGAGGAGAAGCGGGACTGAGGCACCGGGCTCGCTGAGCACCGCCTGAGGTTTGCTTCGGCCGCCGCCGCCGCCGCTGCTTTGGGATTTAATTTTCTTTCCTCCCCAGGGAATGGTGTGGTGCTAACAGTGGGTTCCTCCGTTTGCTTCCGCGGATGCCTCTTGCCTCTGGAGCTGCTTCCAGGGTTTTTGTTTTTCCTTTAAAAAAAAAAGTCTCTACCGGGGAAAGGATTCGTTTTGGGGTTTTGCCGCCCCACTCCCAAAAGTTACGGTCTTGTTCCGAAATCCTCTCCTCCTCCTCTTCCTCGCCGCCCTCGGCTCCACGATGAGCGCCAACATCGTCTACGAGTGGCTGAAGACCCTGAAGCTCTCGCAGTACGCCGAGTCCTTTGTGGATAATGGCTATGACGACCTGGAGGTGTGCAAGCAGATCGGGGACCCGGACCTGGATGCCATCGGGGTCTCGCTGCCGCAGCACCGGCGCCGGCTCCACGACGCGGTGCAGAGGCTGAAGGAGGAGGACGAGACCACGGCGGGGCTCTACTTCACTTTGGAGCCGCAGCCGCCCAGCTCGCCCTCGCCGGAGATCTACACCAGCCACCTGGTGGAGCAGTACGAGGCCAAGACCTGGAAGGAGCCGCCCCTTAAGCATCACCCCCTTCCTCCTCCTCCTCCTCTCCCCACTCCTCGGAGGAACCAGGGCCCCCCCAGGAAAGTGGGGCTCTGCGGCAAGGAGCTGGTTACGTACCCCAGACTCAGACTGAAAATCATGATCAGGGATAAACTCGTCCGGGACGGCATCGACCTCAGTAAGCCCCCCTACTCCAACAAGGTAAGGAAGAGCAAGGTTGTCTCGCCTCTACTTTCTGTTGAGCTTTCCTGCCTTCCCTCTTTCCCTGATACCTTACATTTGTGGTAGGATGAGTTTTGGAGAGGGTAAAGCAGAACTTGCGTTCCTTGAGTTTTTCTCTTTTTTTTAACTTGGTCCCAGTTGGTTCAGAATTTGAACGTGGCACTCTCGCTTTGCCCGCTTTGCCTGGGGTGCTGGAAAAAAAAAGACGTGCGCGTGTTGAGGAGGAGCTGAAGCAAAAAGGCATGGCAGGCTCGCGCTTTTCTTCCAAGCGGAGCTACCTTTGACGAGAGAACTAGACAGGATTCAGGGTTAAGTGCAGCTCTTAATCTCATCTGAGAGTTGTTCAGTCCAACGGCGATGGTGCGCCTTAACTGCTAAAGGCAAACTTTTAAATGTCTTGTTCTTTACTGTCAGGGACACTTGTGAAATCATTAGGAAACTATTTTTGGAATACTTGCGGAGACGGGTGAGGGTTGAATGATGTGTTTATTACTGTCTTTAATTAATTCTTGATGGAGCGAATAAGCCTGCAAAGAAAGGATTGCCTTTTGGTACTTGTTTGAAGCGTTTTCCTAATTTCCAGGCGCTCTCAACTTCAAACACTTCTTTAGGGGTAGGCATGCAACCAGCAAAAATGGCCCTACAGGAAAAGTGTACAGTATTTGGGTTTCAAGATAAGTTTTGGATGGTTTCCTCCAGATAGGTAATGTGACAGACAAAAAGTTCTGGACACTGGGGAGGAAAGTTGTTGAAGAATGAATACTCCTTTGCTCTTTAATTGAAGGGTACCTTGTGGGCCAGTCCTATGACAAGTTTGTACAAAGAAGGAAGGATCACTCAGTTCAGTGGGATCTATTCCCAAGAACTTGTGCATTGGATCATATGGACAACATGGCAATAAACCATGCTTCTTCCCTATTGCGAATGAGGACAGTACTGTAGAATGCCTGGGGTAAGGCACTGGACTAATAAATACCTTCTTTAATGTCTTAATAAAGAGGAAAAGCCAAGTACCTGCAAGTTTTCTGTTCCAAGCAACCTGAATTCCAAGCATATCTAAAATCTTGCTTTTGCAAGGGGAACTGACAATCAGATAATGAGTTTTAAAGTGCTTAGAATGGGGCTAGGTAGAAACTTGTGACTAATTTATTTTCATTGGGAAATTGCTTTATGTAGATAACTGATGGAATTTGTTATCTCCTATGTGATGTCTGTAATGTAATTCAATAACAGTATGTATAAGCAAGCTTCTTGTGGATTGACTTTTGAGTTCACCAAACAGATCTTCCACTGTCATCCTGGACAGCATAACTTGTATGATGGCTCCCCACCATGCAGCAAAAACAGTTCTAAATGCAAATACATGAACGAATGTATTTCAAAGTAAAAACTTGTGTGTGGGGGGGAAATAATAGGGTCACCCTATTAAACAGTAACACACCAAACAGAGGCATGCTATGACAGTTTGGCCCACTTCATATTATGAATGCTGGAGCTTAAATGAGAAAGTGTCAAGGAAGTACCATGTTGGTTGTCAAATGTGTGTCATAATTTAATACAGAAATAATAACACACTCATGCAATCTATATCTAGAAGAAATAGAGTATCATGCCGTAAAAAGATTCAGTGATCAAGGGAAAGAATAGTTCTTTTCATCCCCTGACAGTATTGCAGGAAGAGGCTGCTGACAACAGGAGGAAACCATCTTCCATGGACTAGAAGTCTAATACGAAGTGGCAACGGCAGTGTGTGAACTCTTGCATCCTTAGCAAAGAAAACGGGGGGGGGGGAGAGATCTGTTATCTGGTTTCAGCCAATTTATTTTTAAAGACATATGTTTACAGCAGAAAGCCACCTAAAATAAACTACTCCTGTGGTGGGCCTGTTCAAAACACAGAAATACTGTCCTTTTATTGAAATTGCCCATTTCCTTGAGGACATCGTGCTGTTTATTGTAACTAGAGAATATTTGCAATTTCAAGTTTATATTTTTAAACAACTGTCTCTTTTATGGATTTCCTGTTATGATAATGATAAAGCGCAGTGGTAAAATAGACTCCTTTGGCTTCTTTAATATTGTTACATTTTCATGTTAAACAAATCTTACACAACCTCCGCAAGATTTTCAGTAATTCCTGTGCAAGTTAATAAAGGAAGGAATGTTTAGTTTAAATGTAGCAGACCGCATTATAACAGTTTTCACATGGTGAAAATAAATCAGCTAAATATGCCTAATTATTTCATATGATTTCATAGGATTTTTTTAAAAACGACTCTAGCTTTCTTGCTTTAAGTAATTAAAATATTATATGTATTCTATAGCACATTTCAAGAGTTTTAGCATTTCATAGTAATGTCTCAGCAAAGCGGTGTCTTGCCTTTTATTTTTGAGCAAAGGTTTGGAGTAACTGAGGGGGAGTATCTCAATCCACTACTCTATATTTTGGGGAAGAAGCAGTCTTGGTCAGGTGGTTGAATTAATATACGGGTCAGGTGTTGACCTTGTTAAATGTCCTGGTTATCTTAGTGGCCTTTGATACTATCCACTATAGTGTTCTTCAGGAGTGAGCTCAGAAGGCATGGTTATAGTATTCCTAGCTGGTTGCTCAGTTTCAGCCAGTGGGAGTTGGGTACCTTTGTTGTTTCATCTGCGGAAACTCCAGGATTCTCTCTTGTTGCTATCTCATTTAGTACCTACATGATACTACTGGAGGAATAATCTTTAACACCAGAATGAATTACATGCAGCTCTGCTTCTTCCACCTGCTTATCCAGTAGAGGCTATGGAATTCCTGAATAGATACAGTACTTGTAGGTTGTTTCAGGATAGATGAGGGTGAGCAGGCTGCAGCTTAATCAAAATAAGACAGATGTACATGGGTCAGCACTGTGTTCAAAAGCATAGTCAGTAGTGGTGGTAAGTAAGAATGGTGGTAACTAGGAGTGGTTTTGGCTGTGTTTTTAAAGTGAAATAAAGAGTCCTAGGCTCTGTGCATGGCTGTCTATGAAGAAAACTTTAAGATGTGAGCTAATAAAAATGTGGCATTTAGAATCTTTAATGGAGCTTAGTATAGGATTTCTGCACTTTTTAAAGTCAAAACTTTCTGAGCCCTGAATTGTTTGGGTCTAGAATATTTGAAAAGTCACCTACAGCAGGCTTCAAAATGTCCTCCAGAGGCCCTATTTGCTGGTCTACTATTAGGACTGGTGGATAATAAAGTATTGGCCAGCACTGTGAAAGCTGTATGAAGTTCTGTGTTGAGACTCAGACTCGGCTGACATTGTTGTTTTTCAGAGTTACATTTACTTGCTTGTTCTACTTTGTAACAGGAAAAAACTCGCTGTTGGTAATCAACTTTCTGCATTTGGTTTGGCATAGATTGCATTTTACTATGATAGACTTATTTTGAATTAGCTATTTTAAATTGATTTAGACTTTATCAATTGGCTGTATCAAAAGGATTTGGAAGTGCCAGATCAAAATATCTGAGAGTCACCAGTTATTGACAATCAAATACCGTTCAATATCACTGTAAGATTGGACATTATTGTTGTTGTCCAGACTTTGCAGACATAGGGCCAGTAGACTGGTTTTGCAAAGCCACTTATGAAGTCTGTCAAAGATAAATATCACCCAATCTTGTCTTGAATGAGATCCTGTGAATGCAACTATTTCTTCATGGAATTTGTAAGTAGAATAATTTTACCTGTGTAAATATACCTCTCCTTCTGATTGCTGTCGTAACAAGCCCCTAGTCACCCACCTATATTTGTAGCAGTAAAAAGTTTAGTGTTCAGGTACAGCTGAAGAGGGACGTGGTGGCACTGCAAGTTAAACTGCGAAGCCTCTGGGCTGCTAGGTCGAAAGACCAGCAGTTTGAATCCACACGACGGAGTGAGCTTCTGTCGCTTGTCCCAGCTCCTGCCAACCTAGCAGTTCGAAAGCATGTAAAAATGCAAGTAGATAAATAGGCACCACTATGGTGGGAAGGTAACAGTGTTCCATGTTTAATTGCGCTGGCCACGTCACCATGGAAACTGTCTACAGACAAACGCTGGCTCTGTGGCTTGGAGACAGGGATGAGCACAGTCACCTAGAGTCGGACACAACTGGACAATTGTCAAGGGGAACCTTTACCTTACAGCTGGGAAAGATTCTTCCCTGCTTTTGCAGGCACCACTTTGTATCCACAATCTGGAGGAATAGGAAAGGCAGAGTACCTACTGATCTGAAAGGACAAATTGAAGCTTGGGCAGCAGCAGTAGATTCAGGAAGAATCAAGAGTTAGTGGCAGCTGCCTGTTGGAACAAGTTGTAGAAACTTTGCAGAGAGGTACTTAGGGAAAAGGCCCAGTTTTTCTCTGCATCATAGCAGCCCATTAAAAGTATGTAATGCTTAACCATATTTCATATTTTAATATATGCAGGATATTAAAGAGGATGGTAGACTAAGTGAACTTATTATTGACAATGCAGAAGGGTAAGGATCTAAGGATCTGCTTTTCATGTTTCTTTTCAAAGACGTATGTTCATAACTACCTCAAAGTGTGTTCAGTCTGTGTGTAACAAGATGGTTGTTTTGTCCTAGAACAATACCTGTGTGCTTGCCAACAGGAAAGAGTATGGTTATGCATTTTAAATTCTATAGATCTGATTGCATTTCTTTATTCTCCATCCTTCCGGACTCTTTGAGATAATATCAAAGGCTGTGGCAAAAGTATGTTTCAGTAGCATAACCAGGGTGGTGTTGTACTATGAGCTGCCTGAATAGTGACACTAAATGGGCTCTGAATATAACCACATAACTGGTTTTACTGTTCAGCTGTGGTTTGTTTGAAGAAAGACATGAACTAAAAGTAAGTCTAAAAGCAATCAGTGAAATGATGGTTTCAGGACTTTCTAAATTAACTGGAAAGAGACATTCCTTTCTTAGAGAGTGAAAAATGTGAGTCATGGAAGGAAGGTTCATTTTAAATAA